AGTTTATAGTGGAGTAACTATTGGAATTAATAGAATTAATTAATTAATTAAAGTGTTTAATTAATTATTAATTTTATTGGAGCTCGGGATTATAGGTCCATTAGTCCCCGCGTCGTCCTAGTAATTCTACTAGACACAAAGGGCAAAATGAGAATTTTAGAATTACAGAATTCTAAAATTAAACACTCAAAAATAATTAATTGAGAATTAATTATTATTTAAATAATGTGATTATTTAAATTTAAATTTGAATACATCTAGATTTATCAATTTAAACTTATTTGATAAGTTGTTCAATTTAGAATTCAAATTAATTTAAGTTTGACTTAAATTAGAATTAGAATTTGAGTCAAAATTAGACTACATGATAAATGATGATTTTCTCTTCCTTCCCTATCTGTAAATTGGCGCCACACAGGGATGAGAATCCCCTAAGGTGGCCGGCCACACTAAGGATAAGGGAATGAGAGATTTTGTTTCAAATTCAAATAAGAGATAATTGACAAGCTTTATCTTAGAGATAGAGATTGGATTTCTTCTATGTGTTTGACTTCTACTCTATATATAAGAGAATAGTAGAAAATTGTGGACACAATTTTTTTTGAGACAATTCTTAAAAACGAATTTTGCCCTAATTTGAATAGGGTGGCCGAAATTTCTCTATAGAGTGAGAGGGAAAAGTTTTCTCCAAAAATTTCACATCGTGCATGCGTTGGTATTTGTGAAAATTTGAGTGTTTATTCTAACCCGTTTTGTCTTAGGTGTGCCCACACACACGTCTTCGTGAATTCTAAGAATTGACGTGGAAGACATTGGTTTTCTAAACACAAAGCTTTGGAGCAAGGATTGTTCGAGGTCAAAGAACTCAAGTTATCATCCTAATCGGCCGCCGGGTATTTTTTCTAATTGAGTTCTTAATAAATAAATTAATGTGATTAATTTATTTGTGTATAAATTAATATAATCTATAGAGTATATCAAAGGTTTTATGAAAATTTTTGTTATACACGATTCGCCTCCCCCCACGCTTCCGCATCCGAATTCAATTCGGAGACCAACAAGCTTAGTGCACGTTTTATCCCTTTGGACGTTTCACTAGAACTTGCTGGTGGTACCGGTCACTAATCGGGATTAACTTTTCTTGTAAAGCAAGGTTATTTGTGTCAGCATTAGTGCTTGTATCTCATTGATTTGTAATATATTTGCTTTTTAAAAAAAAAGTAAAATAAAATAAAATATGGAATGATGTCAATTTAAATTCCTCTACCAAGTTAAGGAAAAAAAACAATTTAAAATATATAAAAATTTATTTGGATTAAAAAAATAAAAGATTAAAATGAAAAAAAAAAAGAAACGAAAACTAATCAAGAAACAAAAAAAAAGAAAAGAAAAAAGAAAATAAAGCTAAAGTAAAAAGAAAAGCTAAGAAAAAGAAAAAAAATAAAAGAAACAATGTCAGAAGGCAACGCGACACATAAAGTGTGTTTGAGAATGCTTTTAAAACTCCCAAAAATAACAATGTAACTATAATATTTGATAAAAGTGTACAAAAACACTTTGCACATAAATCAATACACTTTAAGTTATTTAAATAAGTTAAAATTTATAACTTTTAGGCATCGTTCGTTTCACTGATTCGAGTTTTTAACTCTAAAAAAGCTCTCAGAAAATGTCACATTTAATTTTTTCTGCTACAATGAAAAACTCTCATAAAATGTCACATCTCAGCTCGAATTGAAAACTCAAATCTGTGAAGTAAACGAGATCTTAAATTCTATTTCTACTTCTGTTTTTACTTTAAGTAAAAATAATACTTCTATTAAAAGCACAATAATTATTTTAAAAGTACAACAATCCTAAATTGACCATAGTAGAGTAAGGTCTAAAAAGTTTTTGCCTCTTATAGATATAGAAACAAAAAAAGGAAAGAAAAAAAATGAAAATAATGCTAAAGCAAAAAAAAAAAAAAAAAAAAAAAAAAAAAAAAAAAAAAGAGAAAAAAGAAAATAAAAGAAATAAAGTGAGAGTGACGTGGCGCATGGTACAATAAGATTTAAAAAGCCTGTCTCTTATATAATTGTATAGATATAGATATAGAAACGAAAAAAGAAAAGAAAAAAGAAAAGAAAAAAGAAAATGAAGCTAAAAAAAAAAGCTAAGCAAAAGAAAAAAATAAAAGAAGTAAAGTGAGAGCGTGACATGGCGTATGGTAGAGCAAGGTTCAAAAAGTTTTTGCTTCTTTTATAATTGAACTAGTTTTGTAACGTGTTTGTACATATTGTTATAATAGAGGCACTTAAAAAGTTTGTTATTAAAAATTTATTTATACAATCATTTAAAAAGAAATATGTATAAAGATAACAGTTGAAAAAATAAGTAGAGAAATATTTGAGAAAATTATTTTAACCAATTAAAAAAAAACACACGCGAAAATAATTATTCTTATACGAGTAAAGTGAGAAACGATAAGTTTTTAAAAAAACACAAAAAATATTAAAATGGAAAAAATTTAAAAAAAGATAAAAAATAAAAAAAATAAGTGGATGGAGTGCCACGGTAGCCCCATAAAAAATAGCTTTTGACTTTTTTTATGTAAAGACTAGTTGAAACATAAGCTACGCACATGAGTATTTATTCAGTATGCTATATTTTTTAGACACATACATTTAAAAAAAAGAAATATTAACAACAAAAAAATATTTTTGCAAGCGCATATTTGAAATTATTTAAATAATAGCATATTAGGGGTAAAATTTAACAAGGCACAATTAGAAAACACAAGATTTAAAATGAACTAAAAAATAAAAGGATCAAAATACACTTTTTAAATTGGACAAATATGTTTTAATAAGTTATGATTATAAGCATAAGATCTTTTTTATAAAAAGACAAACGAAACATTTTATGTTTTATGAAATAAAAAAATACTTCTAAAGGCAAAAGGTAGACAATAGTAGGGAAATAATAAAAAAAGGCAATAGGTAGGAAAAAAAAGAGAGGGAAGAAAAATATAAAAAGTATAAAAATGAAAAAAGAGAAAGAAAAAATAGAAAATAAAAAATAAAAAAAGAAAGAAAGAAAGAGCAGGCTAACATGCAGCTTCTATAGAGGCCAACATCAAGGTAAATTCTAATGTTAATTATATATTTTTGACATAAAAAAATATGATATACTATGTTATTTTCATTTTTACTCAACGTTATTTAAAATGTTAAATCTATTTTTTCTTTAAAATTTATGAAAGTAAACAATTATTTTTAAAATAATTAGAAAATGTAAAAATTAAAATGATTACATTAAAAAGTAAACATTTCAACTAATAACAATCAAATGCTAACTTTTTAATTTGTTATATTTAATGAGAAATTTATCATAAAATATAGCATATAAGAAATTTAATACAACAAATTACATTACATTAGAAATAATTTTTTATGTTTAAATACTAAATTTATAATTGACACGTTAATTGTGAGATACAACGAACTCTTTGTTTAAGTATATATAGATAAAGATGCATATAGGGATTGTATAGATATATATATATATATATATATACACACACAGAGATGAATGGACCTTAAGGCCCAAAAATGCTGTGTATTACTCCACATAAGGCCGTTACACAGAGTAGAAGCAAGTAAACTCAAGCGAGCCTAGCTGCTCTCTTCAGGGACACAGACAGAAGACAAGTTAAATTAACAGAAATATCAGAGTAATCACAGAGCGTAAACAATCAGACGTTGAGGCTGAGGTAGTATTTCTTTGTCTGCTGTGTTCAAGAGAAGAGAGTTTTCAGAACCAAAAATGGCGATAACGCTGAACACTGGTTTCAAGATGCCGATAGTGGGTCTGGGTGTTTGGCGGGTGGAAGGGAAAGAAATCAGAGATCTCATTATCAACTCCATCAACATTGGCTATCGCCATTTTGATTGTGCTGGTGCTACTTCTCTTCTTCTACTTCTTTTCCTCTCATTTTCATATGGTTTGCGGGGTTTTGTTTTTTTTGTTTTTTTTGTTGTTGTTTTCTTTTGCCTTTTCTTTCTCCGCTTGTGATTTTAGCTAATAAGTTTAAAGGGGTTGTTAGATTTTTTATTTCTTGAAATATTGTTGATTTTCCTTTTGTTAGAGATAATTATGCCAAGTAGATCAGTATTATTCGACTATTGTTATACTTATGATTAGTTATTATGATAAACAACAGCAAATTGCTGTACCAATAGTATAATTATAGTTACTATGACGAACAACAACAAATTACTTGTAATTGGTATAGTTATTATGTAACCAACAGCAAATTTCTGTAGCAATTGTGTTATTATTATGATTAAAATTACTAATATTTGGCCTCTAGCCTCTTTGCCACTAGAATTTTCATTTTATGGTGCTTATGGGACATTACAAAGTTTGACCATCTGATCTTGCTTGCAGCTGATTACAGGAATGAATCAGAAGTTGGGGAGGCACTTTCCGAGGCTTTTCGGACGGGGCTTGTTAAGAGAGAGGATCTCTTTATTACCACCAAGGCTAGTTTTAATTTCCCAATCGAGTATTTTCATTTCCTTTGGCTAAATAAAATGCCCGTCCTCTTTTGCCAAGAGTATGAATCTTTTTCTTTCCCTTTTACTCTTACATGATGATTGCAGCTTTGGAATTCGGACCATGGACATGTCATTGAGGCCTGCAAGGACAGCCTGAAGAAGCTTCAATTAGATTATCTGGATCTTTACCTTGTTCACTTCCCCGTCGCCACGAAGCATACCGGTGCTTCCCTTCTCTCTTTCATCGTTTTATTGATCCTCCATCCTTTTAAAATGCTGTTTTACTGCAGTTTGCGAAACTGACCTCGACATTGACAAATGTTTGTTTTGGCTTTAAAAAAAAAAACGATGCAGGAGTTGGTACAACTGACAGTGCTTTAGATGAGGATGGGGTGCTTGACATAGACACAACCATATCCTTGGAAACCACCTGGCACGCGATGGAAGATCTGGTGTCCTTGGGTCTAGTGCGTAGCATCGGAATCAGGTAAACCAACATTATGCATTTTTTTATGCAGATTCGATAAGCTACTTGAGTTGCTATGTGATGATAAATTACAAGGAAGTTACTCGTTAAACGAGGTATGAGCATTCATAATGCTACTTTAAATAGTGCAGTGCTATGAGAGTTCTCATTTGCGTAGTGCTTTATGCACTATAGATTTGATGTAGAACAAGTTAAGATTTAGAGGGGAGAAGAGAAAAAGAAAGAAATAGGTGGAGAAAGTTAAGAATTTGAGGAAGAGAAGAGAGTATGATAGAACATTTAGGGAGAAAACAAGAATATTAGGAGAAGAAGTACGTATATTTCATAATCAAAATGACTTGTTTTTCCATGTTACAAGATGGCCTATTTATAGATAGGCAATTTAGCAAAAGTGGCTTAAGTGACAACTAACTTACAAGTTGTTCATACTAGATCCTAGCTAATGACAACTAAGAATAACTTGGCACATGTGGCCAAGTTGATTTCTAAAGACTTTCAGAGGAAAAGATTTCTCATTTCATTGAATTGTTTATAGAGAAAAATCCTCTTAAATAGAGAAAAACAGTAAATACAATTATGGTAATTCCTTACCAAAACTAAAGGATATGACCACATTTATTTCCCTAAAAAACCTACCAAAAAAATACTCCAAGAAAATCAGGAAACAAACACAAAGTCAATGCACGAAATTAAGACACAAAATCCATGAAATCACACGGATTTCCAACAATTTCTAGTAAAGTAAGCTAGCAAATGACAACTAAGCATGTTTTGGCACAAGTTGCTAACAACTTACACAAAATGACAAAATAGGCGAGAAAAATGACAACTAAATATGAGTTGGCACAAGGTGCCAAGTTGTCAACTTTCACAAAATAACAAAATATAAAAATAATAAAATACTAAATCCTAATTCTTAATTCTTCCTCCAACTTCTTCTAGTGTAGATTCATAATTTATCATTGTGTTCCACATCATTCCCTCCGGGTTGGAAAGAACTCTACTCTGACAAGTGATGCTGCAAATAGTTCTCCAAAAGAGCAGAATCAAGGCGACAGAACTCATCTTTAGTGATCCAAGTATCATCTCAGATAAACGATCTTTCCAACGAACAAAGAAGCAACGAAAATCACCAAATGGAGAAGTAACAAATTCATCTTCTAAGACATCGGCAATCTCTTCAGTTGGCGTGACAGTAGCAGAATGAGCCAACGGAAAGGGGATGGAAGATTGCCCTGTAGAAATGGAAGAAGGCAAAACTGGAGGCTCGAATGTGCCTCGCGGTAAGGAAATAAATACGCCACATTTAACACTAGACTAATTGACAAGTTTGATGGTAAATCAAGTAAATATGCATTGAATCCAAGCCTACGAAGAATAGGATAAGGGCCAATAGTTCGGGCATGTAGCTTTTTGATAATATGTTTAGGATAACGTTCAGGACAAAAACGAACCATAACATAATCACCTTCTTTGAATTCTTTGTGCCTATGATGTGCATCAGCAGCAAATTTATAAGTGTCTTTAAGTCGTCTGATCTCAACATGCAAAATTATGAATATGTTCAGCAAATGCTTGAGCAGAATCAGAAGGGCGATAATCAATGGGCAACGGGATAAGATCAATGGGTTGGCGAGGAGAGAGGCCATGAACAATCTCAAAAGGACTTTTACCTGTCGAATGATTAACAAAGTTGTTATAGGCAAATTTAGCAATAGTTAAAATAAGATCCCAGTTACCAGGCTTCTCACCAACAAGACACCTAAGCAGATCACCTAAACTACGGTTAACAACTTCATTTTGACCATCAGTTTGAGGGTGGAAAGCAGATGAATATTTCAAAGTTGTCCCAAACAATTTCCAAAGTGTGTTCCAAAAGTAGCTAACAAATTTGACGCCCCTATCAGAAACGATGGTAGTTGGTAGGCCATGTAACCGAACAATTTTCGAAAAAATAATTTAGCAATATGTGAAGCATTCACAGTCTTAGCACATGGGATGAAATGAGTCATCTTAGAAAAATGGTCAATGACCACAAAAATAGAATCATGACTCCTAGCAGTCTTAGGCAATCGTAGGACAAAGTCCATACTAAGAGCTTGCCAAGGGGTGTGTGGCACAAGAAGTGGGGTGTATAATCCAGTGTTTTGCTTCTTGGCTTTTCCTAACTGGCAAGTACGACATTGAGAAACAATACACACGACATCCCTTTTCAAAGAGGGCCAATAAAATCTTTCTTCTACCAAGGATATTGTCTTGTCTCTTCCAAAATCTCCAGCTAAACCCCCAGCATATGTAATTCCCATATAAAAAATTCACAAAGTGAAGTACGAGGAATATGTAGCTTAACTCCTTTAAAGAGATATTGATGTGGGACAAAGTCAAATCTCCAAACCTATTTTAGGCGGAGATATGAACAAATAAATTTGGATTGATTCTTATTCAGTTTCCTAATTTGATTTGGGAAAGTTTCTTGATTGTATGCATTTAATTTTGTTTATTTAGTTTCCTGTTTTACTTTTGTAATAAGCGTATAAATTGGCTACATGTTATGGACAATGCAGACTATTATGATTGTTGATATTGAATTTCAGAATTACTCTCCCTCTTGAATTTCTTCTTCCTCTTCTCCCAATTTCTTCCTAAATCCCTAATTCCTATTCTATTTCTCTCTCCTATCTCTAAATTCGCCCTCTTTCTCTTTCTATTTTCTTTTCTCTTCTGTAGTTTTGCATCATATACCTACCTCAAATGAGAAAATCAACATGAGAGGGACTTGGGTTATCTAAGGAATCCTTATAAATGATGGAAAAATCTGGACAAGAGGCATACTCATCCTTAAGGCGCTCTAAACCAACCACGCTGTTAGTCATAGAATGTAATACAGTGGTAACATGACTAAGAGCATCAGTATCCTTATTTTCAATCCCACACAGTGCTTGAGAACAAAGGTATACTCTTGGAGAAACTTAACCCACTTAATATGTCGAGAACTTAACTTACGCAAGGAATTCAGGTGACGAAGGGCTTAATGGTCAGAATAGAGAACAAACTCTTTAGGAAGCAAATAATATTGCCAATGACGAAGAGATTGCACCACTGCATAGAACTCTTTATCATAAGTGGAATATTGTTGTTTTGCCTCATTGAGTTTTTCACTAAAGTATGCAATAGGGTGACCATCTTGGCTTAGAACACCTCCTATACCTGCACCAGAAGCATCACATGCTACCTCAAAAACCTTAGAAAGGTCAGGATGTCTTAGTACAAGAGTTTCAGCGTGTGTCCACTTGAAATCTCCTGGTTTCATACACTCGATAATAGGAGCAGTAATTGTACTAAATCCCTTAATGAATCTCCTATAAAACGAAACTAGACCATAAAAACTTCGGGATCGGCAGAAATTTCGTGAGCAGACACAATGTATCCTAAGAATAACACTTGATTTTTCATGAAAGAACACTTCTTAAGGTTTGCAAATAACTTTTCAGTCCTAAGAGTTGACAAAACCTGACGGAGGTGATCTAAGTATTCGGCTCATGACTTGCTATAAAAAAGAATGTCATCAATGTATACAACAAGAAACTTATTGATGAAAGGACGCAAAACATGTGTCATAACTCTTATGAAGGTGCCGGGTGCATTAGACATCCCAAAAGGCGCAACTAACCACTCATAGAGACCATCTTGAGTCTTAAAGGTTGTTTTCCACTCATCACGTAATCTAATCCTAATTTGATGGTATCCACTGCGAAGATCTATCGTAGAAAACCATCGAGCACCAGCTAACTCATCTAACATATCATCCAGTCTAGGAATAGGAAACCTAGACTTGATTGTAATTTTGTTAATGGCTTGACTATCGACACACATTTTTCAAGATCCATCTTTTTTAGGGGTTAATAAAACAGGAACAACACGTGGGCTAAGGTTATGGCGAACAAAACCTTTCTCTAAGAGTCCTTCTATTTGCCTATTCAACTCGGCTCACTCTATAGGATTCAGCCTATAATGGGGAAGATTAGGCAATTGTGAACCAGGAACTAAGTCTATCTAGGGGAGGTAACTCGTTAGGAAGTTCATTAGGCATGCTATGCTATCCCAAAACTCTTCTATCAATTGAGAAGCATTGGGTGGAAGATCTAGGGTGGACTCAGAGGACATGGTAAAATTTCCTGTAGGAACTAAGGCATATACTAACTCAGATTCGACATCTTCTCGCTCAAAGTGCTTATGGAATAGGACTTGAACTTGATATACTGGTAAATTCTTAGGTGGAATCTTGGTTCTTAGACAAGCTTTTGTGACTGGCTTTGCAGGTTGCAAGAGGATTGTCTTGTTGTCATGTGTGAATTTATAGGTATTGTCATGACCGCAATGTTTCACATCATGATCATACAACCAAGGACGGCCTAACAAGACATGGGTGACATCTATATGTAGAACTTCACAGTAGAGATTTTCAGAGTATGTATCTTAAGGGATACTAGACATCACTCTGTAACAGGCCAAAAGGTTTTATCTGTGGTTCAGGGTTAAGATCAAATCTAGCAATAGCTGACTTGAAAACAACATTCATGGAACTACCCCCTCAATGACTTACAGGTTTTATCCTTTAGAGGTATGAAGGTGTGGAAGATATTGGTACATTTCCATGCATCACAATCAGTAGGAGTAGGCAAAATTCATCGCATAACAGATAGATATTCCTCATCAGGGGAGTAATCATCTTCATACATCACTAGAGGGTCCTCGTAATCTGGTTCCAATGGAGCTATAGCAAATAGCTCATTTCCTTTTTCTAATAGGGTATTAGCCTCGTGATTAATAATAAGGGCACGTTGTGGACAACAGGAGACTATATGACCTTTGGCATGACAATGGTGGCACTCAATTGAGGTGGCAAAAGGTCGAGAACTAGAGGGAAATTGTTGGACTCTTGTCAAAACTAGTGGGAGGTGCATTAGAATTTGGAATAAATGTTGGCTTCGATTGGATTG